TGACGGATTTTACTTTATATATTTATTGTATAATTGATTTCGGATTTTGGATATTATTTACAGTATACCTTATTATCATTTCGATACTTAAAGCGTATATATGTATGGTTTTGCTCTCATTATTTCCAGTGTCACTACTGTCGCCGTCGCCAAGACAGAGAAAACACTAGCCATTTAGAACGCTGCAAAAACAACCCAACAAAACAAATACACAAACAAACCTAGATCCAAACAGATCTAGGCTAAAACCCCAAATCCAAGTAGATTTGGAAAGGAGAAGGGGAGGAGAAGAGGAAGGGGAGAGAGGGGGCCAACAAGAGCTCCCAGGAAAGTGGAAAGAGAGGGAGAGAGGATGAGAGGGAGGGAAAAAGATGAGAGAAGAAGAAAGGGAGAAGAAGGGCGGAGGGGAGGAGGGGTAGTGGCCACCTCCCCCCTAACTGAGGAATAGTTGGTTGTCAACAAGGAGAAAAAGGACCAGGTTTAGGGTTAGGAATTCTGACATGTCTAAGAAAGCATATATGTAGTTATTTTTCGGGAGCTTTAATAGTATACCCAAAATAAGGGCTGAAATTATAAAAAAACCCAACATGGAAAACACTTTAGAAACATACCCAAAAACCATTTACTACATAAAAAATGAGTGTTGAAGTTCCTAAAAACAAGCCAAACACAAAAAAAACTCAAAAAAAAACCCCAAAACAAGCCCAGCAAGCTCGAAGTACATTGTTAATACCATGTCATAGAAGCACATTGTTTATTCCATGTCATAGAAGTACATTGTTAATACCATATCATAAAAGTACATTGTTAATACTATTTTATAAAATAAAAAAAAACCAAAAAAGCCAAGCAAGACATCCGATATCCTTTGCAGAAACCACCTCCAATTGTCCACAGTTTCACCAGAAACAATCGCAAAGGCAAAAGGAAATACCTCTACAAGAAAAAAAAAAGTACACTATTAATACTATGTCATAGAACTATCTTCCTAGTAAAAATCAAATTATACATATCATAAACTTCAAGTGCACAACTATATATAGAGAAAAATATAGAGCATGTTTTGTTACTGAAAATCTATTAATACTATGTCATAGAAGTACACTGTTAATACTATGTCATAGAAATCAACTCAATTGCAGGGTATGAACAGTTGTGTAATAGGGTACCACTTATTGGAAGTTAACAACTACATCATTTCATTTGCATAATAGGTACCACATTTTCAGGACAAGAAATCGGCGATGGAGTTTTGGGCAAAGGTGAATCGGTGGCGGGTTGTGGCGATGGAGTTGGCGAGGGGTGTGGTAGAGACAATGAAGATACAATGGAGAATTGGACTAGGAGAAAAGCCAGAAGCAGAGCTTGATGAACCTTGCCATTATTGAAGAAGAACAAGAAAGTTCGAGATACTGGTTGATGAAGATTGAGTTGATTAATAAACAAAACAAAAGGGCAAAGCAATAATCAAACATAGCTGTTGAATTTAAGAAATCACCAAACTGTCAATTTTTGGGTTTATTTGGGTGTGTTTATATACATTGAATGGTATAGGGTTTCTTTATAGAACTATGTCTAGGAACGGATATTTAACTAATTTTCTCTTATTTTTTAATTATAATACACGTTTTTTTATATTATAGAATATTGCAATAATGCACATTATTCGTGTACGTTATCCTTATTGTTTACATACTATTGAAAAAAATAGAGATAAGAAAATTAAATAAATAAATTTTTATTTTTATTTAATGGTTGAAATTTTCACCCTATATTTAAAAGAAATTTTTTGAATAATACACCTACATATAATATATTATCTATATTTTACTAACTATGCAGGGCCTCCATGGGCCCAATGGCAAGTCAATCAACCCTATAGAAAGTGCTTGAGATTGGCATCCTGTATAATCAGAACCAGCCCTAAGGGAAGCCCTATGACGGCCCAAAAGAAAACTATTTAAAAATAAAGTTATGTTGAATCCTTGTATATATTAGAACGTGAAGTTATATTACAACAGAAAATACACTGAATAAGGTACGCATGGAAAAAGAACAAAAGAATCATAGATTAAAGAATTAAAACATCGGTTTAATTTAAGCCATTTATGACTTGCATTCTGTAGGGAGGCCCTGGGGAAATCGCTTAGTATCAGTGCAGTAATTATAGATCATGTAGTTTTTCTGCACCCATCTCAGCCTCTCCTGCCTTGTTAAATCAAGCTCTTCTGAGAGCCATGCGTTGCTAGTTGATGCAGAAGAGGAAGAATTTGGAGATGACGATGAGCTGCATGAAGAAACTCCATTTGATGAAACACAAGCATTGTTGGCATTGAAGTTCCTGTAGGAAGCGGTGAAAGGAGCTATGCTCCAATCTGTTTTGATAAGCCCACCCCTTGTGGCCCAATCATCTGCATTCCAAAGGCTTGAGTAGATCCTCATTGGTTGGTTCTTTGGGAATGGAACACCGTTGGATTCTTGGTTCTTGAACTCTCTGATGGGAGTGCCATCTACAGAGAAGCTGAAACAGAGCAAACAGAGAGTAAAGTTAGTGGAGAATGGACTATAGAAGGAAAAAATACATATATTTGAACCGCAAACCACACGGTGCCATGAGGGATTGAACCGCAGACCACTAGTCTGCATGCCGACTGTTCTACCACTAAAGCTAAGACCGCATTGGGATATTTAAAATCGAAACTTGATTTGAACAAGATTTGGGTCATTGGGTTACTTACACAATGCGCTGTGGGTTCCAAAGAATTGAATAGGTGTGGAAATCAGCAGTTGGGTCAAACCAGAGATAGAATTGTTGCTCTCTGTTTCCTTTGCCTTGGCTGAAGACATTGGTGTGAAGAATGTAAGGATCACCACTCAAGTTCCCCAAGAACTCAAAATCTATCTCATCCCATGTTGACCCTTTTGAGGATAACTGCAAAAATTTATCAGTCAGATACAAGAAAGGTTCAAGAAAATGGAAGTGAAATAAATATTCCAAAGATTAACTTACATAGTAGGCTGTGACAGTGCCAGCAGAATTTCCAGGGACAAGCTTGAGCTGCATATCAATCTTGCCAAACAAATACTCATTTTTGGATTGAAAGCCAGAGCCAGAGGCTTTGTCAAGTGAGAGAGTAAGAAGCTCGCCATTGTTGAGAATCTTAGCTCGACCGTCTCCCCATGTTATCTGAAAGTCCTGGTTGAAGTTACCAGCAGAGGCAACCAACAAAGAGCTAGTAGCAAGAAGAGCAATCAGTAGTATAAATGAAAGAGATGATTTAAAGGAAGCCATGGGTTTTGTTTGGAAATGAGTAAAAAGAGAAGAGAAATATTCAGATGGAGAGAATGATATATATATAGAGAGAGAGAGAGGGAGAGAGCTATATTGCTGTGATTATGAGAGTTTGGTGTGCATAGAAATATAGCATGGCTTGTGCTTTATATAGTAGTGGAGATGATGTGGTTCTGACTGAAGGGAAAGAGATTGGAAGGTTCAATTTGCTAGCTGTGCCCAGTTAGATTTCTCATCAATGCAAAGGGGAATTATTCGAGGGTAAAAAAACCCATTTACAGGACGCGGTTTTGAACAGATTTTTTAAGTGAGGAAAGTGTTTGCATGGGGAGGTGAGGCCCAGTTCACCTTTAGCCATCCCTTTACCAAACCTTAAGACCATTTGCTTGTTTCTATCCAAAACCAAACCACCCCACCACCGACAATAATATTATATATGTATATCTTTATACGTTGTGGACCAAAAGCCATATCCACACGTTTGCACAGGTGAGAGGAGAAAACAAAATCATCATAAGCATTAGGCAATACCTGTTTGGGAAAAATCGCATGGCATGTCATGTTTGATGTTGAAAACTGTTACGATTACCAAACTCTTCTTCCTTTTATTTATAATCAAATTTGTTCATTATAGTCTTTTATTTATTTTTCTCTCTTTTATCCATTTGTGCCTTATAATATGTCTCATGTGTATATGCACTTACGTCATTTTATAAATCGTTGTATGAAAATAAAAGATTTTAAATTTTAAACAACAATTAGTTTCCTCTTATCTCCTTTTTAAAACACTCTTTAATGTATTTTATCTTCAACATTATATATGTTTTCAAAACCCTACACATGGATTTGGGCGACTTATATTTCAACGGTTGTCACCACCACGGTCAGAACGGGGCAGAAATAGCATTAATGTTCAAGGAATTAGTTCTTTAACTAGAAATGAATTGTTCAGAAGACGCAAGGTATTCAAACGTGTTGTCATGTAACAATTGGTTCATGATAACAGTCCAAGACTCGCCTCCTACTGCATCGCATCTCAAAAATTGAAACGTACTTTCTGACTTTATTTGGGGAACTGATCCTCAAGAAAATTCTTCTTGGTTCTACTCTGATCATAAAGGACAATGGTAAATCAGTATTGTAACCGAAATCAGTAATACATAATTGAAAACTAATCATATATAGATACTATTAATAAGAATACACATAGATTAAGGTTGGTAACAAAAGCCTTATTACACTAATATCTTTGCGATTTCAAATTATTTTCACAAAATCTCTTTCTTTCATTTTCCATCGAAAAAATTGATGACAAATTTAGCCTCAATGATTAGAGCTTACAGTATATGTGCAATCTAATCTTTGAGGTCAAACTCAGAAAAGAACAAAATTCTTGGTTCTATACTCTGATCATAAAGGACAATGGTAAATCAGTATTGTAACCGAAATCAGTAATACATAATTGAAAACTAATCATAGATACTATTAATAAGAATACACAATTCTAGATTAAGGTTGGTAACAAAAGCCTTATTACACTAATATCTTTGCGATTTCAAATTATTTTCACAAAATCTCTTTCTTTCATTTTCCATCGAAAAAATTGATGACAAATTTAGCCTCAATGATTAGAGCTTACAGTATATGTGCAATCTAATATTTGAGGTCAACATTGTCATTTGGAAAACAAAATTTTGACATCAACAACTTTTAGTGGAAAATTAATGGAATGGGTTTTTATGAAAGCAATGTGAAACAGAGGTGTTAATTTAAATAACTCTTATTTTATTACATCCATCTAGAGTTTTATTCTACATTCAGGAGGAAAGCCTTGTGGGAAGCGCTTTATATCTGTACAATAGTTATAGATCATGTAATTCTTTTGGACCCACTTGAGCCTCTCTTGCTTTGAGGTATCAAGAACTTCTGTGAGCCACGATTTACTGGTAGGTCTTGATGTTGAAGATGATGATGAGCTACAAGAAGATGCACCAGAAGACCATACACAAGCATCGGCGTTGAAGTTTCGATAGGAGGCTGTGAATGGAGCTTGTGACCAATCTGTCTTGACCAGCCCTCCTCTTGTTGCCCAGTCATCAGCATTCCAGAGGCTAGAGAAAATCCTCATTGGTTGGCTCTTTGGGAAAGGAACTCCAATGGATGCCTCTAGGTTCTTGAACTCTCTGATGGGTGTGCCATCAACAGATAATCTAACAACGGAAAATTATAATTTAATTTAATTTAAATTCATCAAATAAATTTTCGTTTAATATGTGGGCAATTTTATATTACCATATTTTCAAATAAGAATAACGTGGTAAATAAAATTAGGGTTCTTAAGAGAAAGGTCCATGTAACTCCTATATTATAGACATAAACTCACCCATTTTTCATTTCCCATGAAAAACCCAAATTTAGGGTTTATGACCCAAAAAAAACCCCATTACTAATAAAATTAAAAATATAACAACATAACTTATCAAAGTGTTGATAAAATAACAATTGTTTTACACCCACGTACAGAAATAAAATTTGGCATCATAACATGTTAGATTGTTCGAAAAATAACATTTTGCTTACATGATGCGCTGGGGATTCCAGAGGATAGAGTAGGTATGAAAATTAGAGGAGGGGTCGAACCATAGGTAGAATTGTTGCTCTCTATCGCCTTTGCCTTGGGTATATATATTGGTGTGAAGAATGTAAGGATCACCACTCAGATTCCCCAAGAACTCCAAATCGATCTCATCCCATGTTGACCTTTTTGATGATAGCTGCGAAAAAAAAAAAAAGCATATATAATTAATTAATATAAGACTCACCAGTCTCCAAAAATTAAAAATATTTATGCAAATATTAATATACAATTAGAGGCACGTGACTCACATAGTAGGTAGTGACAGTGCCAGCAGAGTTTCCAGGGACAAGCTTGATCTGCATGTCAATTTTTCCAAACAGATACTCGTGCTTGGATTGGAAGCCCGAGCCAGAGGCTCTGTCGAGTGACAAGGTTAGGAGCTGACCGTTGTTGAGTATTTTTCCACGGCCATCTCCCCATGTAATGTCGAAATCTCCGTTCAAGTTTCCAGCATAGCAAACCAAAATGGAACTAACCAATAACAACATTAACAACATTAACAACATTGGAAAACAAAAGGAAGCCACTGACTAATTTAGGGTTTAGTTATATTTCTAATTTGATTGGAGGTTTGTGTGGGAGGAAGCAGAAATCCTATACATGCTTTAAATAATGGGTAAGAGAGCAAGAGATGTAAGTAAGTGGCGGGGCAAGAGAGACTTAGGAAGGTGTAAAATTTTGGTGAGTTGGTGTGATTTGGGAGGCATGGTTTTGCAATTTAAAGGTGATGTGTGTGTGTGTAAGAGAGAGAGAGAGAGAGAGAGAGAGAGAGAGAGAGAGAGAGGTGGAGGAAGGAAGGAGATAATAATCCCAGAGTGCCAAGTTGCGAGGTAGAGAGGAATAGGTGGACACAGGTGGCAATGAATGAGACTAGTCCTTGTTTTGATGTGTGAAAATGTGCATGTCACACAAGTGCACAAACCATGCAACCTTCACTAGATAACACGCTTTGAGAGCTTTCTGACCAGGTTTTTTGTTTTTTGTTTTTTCTTAGGGGGTCAGATTTTTGTTTGGCAAGCTGCCCAGCCTACTGATTTTGGTCGAATTACTCACCACACTACTAGCAGGTTCTTCCTCCCCTAGTACGAACCTAAATTAGTTCCTTGCAGATAAGTAAATGAATATATTATGCAAGTGGTTTTCAAATTAAAGAATATTAAAGAGGTTTAGCCAAAAAGGCCTTAACATGCAAACAAGAGGTCTCTAGTCAACAATGGCCACCATTTAAATACAGTGGCTGAGAAAACAATAGTTTTTTTTTTTGGTCAAGAGAGAAACTTCATAAAACCCAAAGCAGGAAAACAGGAGAAACCTGAGCAACAAACAGAAAGCTGAGACTGCAGACACTAGCCAGACGCAGCTTAGTGCATAAAGCAGCCTCAACAAAGATAAGATTACATTATAGGGGGGCATGGCAGCCCATTCGAAATTAAAATAAGAACAAGGGACGGTGGTGGCTGATCTAGCCAGGTTACCCTATGCACCGCTCCAATTCCAATCAATGCCACCTTATGAGATGCACGATTTTTGTTGAGTGGTGATTTCCCCACTCCAATTTTGTCCACTTACACTCCATTTTATAACTAAAAAAGGAGTGTAAGTGGTCAAAATGGGAGTGGGAAAATCATTACCCTTTTTGTTTCGAGGGATCCAACACCACTTGACAGAGTAAAAAAGAGCCTCAATTTTCCGAATTTCTAAGAGAATCGGGAGAATATACCAAGCTCGATTGCCATAATTCCCATAAATCCCAGACTTCACAACTAGAGAATCAGTCTCCATCATGATCTTACGGTGTCACAAAGACAGAGCCAATTTGAGACCACTGAGCACAGCGTCAGCTTCAGCCGCAAGGACAGACTAGCAAACCTTACCCTCCGCTGAACCACTACAGAAAACTCCCTCATAATTTCTTATAATCACCCCAGACCTGCAGTTTTGTTCGACTTCTAGGCACCATCAGAGTTAACTTTAACCCAACCAAGTCTAGGGGGTCCAATAGGGCTGAGTACGGAGGTCCTCCCTAATAGTTATCCCAAGAGAATTCGAGATATGATACTGCCAAAGATAGTGTAATTGAGAGAGTAGAGAATGTGAAATGTGAGAGGTTTTGCAGAGAATGTGAAATGTGAGAGGTTTTGCAGAGAATGCAAAATCAGCTTCTTGTACTACTATCTTGAGGAGATTTATACAAATGTAGCTAGCTAACTATTAGTTACAAACAAGATCACAAAGCATAGATTATTTCCAGAATTTGTGTTTCCCTAAAACATGGAAATGTAAACATGGAAAGGTGTTTCTATAAAACATGGAAAAGTGGAAGTGTGATAGACAAGCTTTTCCTTGTTTTAGGGAAGCTGTCTATGTCTTGTTTTTGTCTTGACTAACACTTCCCCTCAAGTTGGTGCAAATATCACGCATGCCCAACTTGTCAAGTGAATCATAGAAAACTTTACTTGATACGGCCTTTGTTAGAATGTCGGCAAGTTGGTTCTTCAAGTTTACAAACGGAAACTTAATTATACCACTTTCTAGTTTCTCTTTGATGAAGTGTCGGTCGACTTCCACATGTTTGGTACGGTCATGTTGTACTGGGTTATGTGCTATCTCGACTACAGCTTTATTGTCACAGTACAAGTTTGTAGCCTTTAATGGTTTAACTCCAAGGTCCTTCAGTAATCTCCGTAACCAGAGCAATTCACTCAGAACTTGAGCCATTCCCCTAAATTCTGCTTCAGCACTTGATCTAGCCACAACTCTTTGCTTCTTACTTCTCCAAGTGACTAAGTTGCTACCCACAAATGTAAAATATCCAAAAGTAGAACGTCTATCTGTGATGGATCCTGCCCAATCAGCATCTGTGTATCCTTCCAGGTTTATATGTGTATGTTTGGAGAACATCAACCCTTTTGCAGGGGCAGCCTTCAAGTACCTCATAATCCGTGTTACTCCATTCATGTGTGCCTCACTCGGTTGATGCATAAACTGACTCACCATACTCACATCATAAGCTATGTCGGGGCGTGTGTGTGATAGATAGATCAGTGGCCCAACCAATCTTTGATACCTTTCTTTGTCAGTGGGTACTTGATCTGGATACATCCCTAACTTGTGGTTCTGCTCAATAGGTGTGTCAACTGGCTTGCAATCAAGCATTCCAATTTCTGTTAACAAATCTAACACATATTTTCTTTGGGATAGAAATATGCCATGTTTTGATCTAGCAACTTCTATGCCAAGAAAATATTGTAACTCACCTAATTCCTTCATCTCGAGAATTTTATTTTATTTTATTGCTTAAATTATTTTTAATTAATTTTTTTCTCTTCTTATATTGATTTATTTACACTAACACCATCTGAGGTTTTCGGTGTCTTCAGAAAACCCTTAAGGTTTCAAAAATTACATGAACATTGTTGCGTCTATCCAAGTGCAAGTAGTCACATGTAGTAATAATCTTGGAAGTCCAAGTATCGTATCCTCAAGGAGCAGGTAGGCAAATGTCTGCACACAAAGAAATAATCAAAAGTACCAAAATAAAAGTGACAAGCAAAATGAACAAGTAATTTGATTTGATTGTTGTAGAGATTTAGTTTTAAAATGAAATATCAATAATGGAAATGCTAAGGCATCAAGGTTCAATTCTTTAAGCAAAATATGTTTCATGCTCTT